CACCGCTGCGCCCGCCTTCAAGGCAGTTTAAATGCCTTGAACTGCACAAATTCTCCCAGAGATTTCAGCGATTAAATAAAGGGTTGTGAGATCCTAGCATGCCAAGCACAGAGATCCATGTGCACATAACAGGAAGCTTGGCTGGTTATTCGAAGAGTCTACTTCTGACTACACCACTCACTCAGCCTCCTAGAATCTTGCCTCGAATTTGCAACGGCAGCTTTAACCCTGGATTGTATAAACACTTTATGAAACTCTCTAATTTGTTTCATGGGAGCACACTGTTTTTCCAAATAAAATGCCAGCTTCCACAAAGCTTAATTTTAATCCATACCTATCCCAGGACTAGACATCTAGCAGGCAAGTTGGCCAGTGGTCATTGTTGAGAAATTAGAGGAATTCAGAAAGGAGATATGAAAATAATGATTATTTTTATAAACTAGTAGTGGGAGCCCCTTCCTCCTCCAAAGCACATGTTGGTAGGAAATAAAAAACCCAGTACCTCTCTGATCAAGAAAAAAACTCAACTCAAATTCAAAATTAGTACATATCCACCCTGTTGGTTCTCTTGGGTTTATGTACAAAAATCTACAGATTTTTTAACATCTTTCGTGTAAGGCAGGATCAACATAAAAGTATCAATAAGCTGCTTTGTAAAAAGAAAGAAAGGGCAAGAAACAATGACACCAAAGTAACAAAAATGGCAAACCAAATGCACAGGAAAGCCATGTGGTTCATCCCAAAGCTGGGAGCTCACAGGAGGCAGCCCTGACTTAGGAGCAATGGGGTGCCCCCCTTCGTCTTCCCCACCCTCAGGGGACAATCAGTGAGATGAACTGAACTACTCATTTGCAAAAGATTGGGTTGGTAGAGGAAGAGCACAAATGAGGTTAAATTAAGCCAGCCCTATTTTCTCTGGCTCTTTATAAAATTCTTTAGCAAAACAATAACACCAACACCACCCCTCCAAATAATAGCATCGGCTGCTAATGTAAAATGTTGTCTGCCTGTCCTGGCCCACCAGTCTGCTTCCTGAATGCTCTGGGCTATAGAGTGAGAAAATGGAGACGAGATAAAAGTTTATTTAAAATTAAAAGACCTTGATTTTAGAGGTGACAGAAACTCAGGAGACCACATGGCCGGGGACAAAGACTTCAAGTAGATAGGGGTCTTGTTCTAGCAATGAGGTCCAAACAGGGTAACTGTTTTGCCTAAAGTCACTTATGAAGAGAGAGGAAGAGGCTGTCTTCTGCCCACAAGACAAGGCAACACAACATAAGGATAGAATCTTTCTACACGCCAGTGGCTCCAACCGCCAACATAGTACAACTACAAAGTGGAGGGCTCTCTTTGACCTCTCTGGTTCTCTCTATACCAAGTCCACCTTATCTTAGAAGGTGACAGTAACTGTCAAGCTACCCCCAGCACAAGGCATCGAGGGCAGTGGTGGGCAATACATGCCAGTCTGGTATGGTCAAATCCTTGGGTAATATTTTGGCATAGGCTAAATCATGGACAGTTAATAAGGCGAGTCCTGGAGTTGGGCTGTCTGGGTTCAAATCCCATCCCTACCACCTGATAACTACCAGCGTATTTAACTTTCCCAAACCTCAATTCCTCGTCAGTAAAATGAGAATGACGGGGTATACAGACGTTGTAAGGCTTGCATGAGAACCGTGCCAACTAGTACCTGGCAAGAACTAAAGTTAACGTAACTTAGTCATACTCTGCAGTTGTCTATAGGTTTCTCATAAATATCTTCTCATATATTCGCCCTATCAAGTTCTCATTCTACCCAATGGAAGCACAGAGTGATGATCCCGAAAGTCATTGATATTTTTTGTCCCTACCACAATAAAAGGTACTTACTACTACCATTATCATCACTACTACTGGACCCCTGGATTATTATGCATGTTTTCTTCTCCTCTTCCTGTTCTTCTTCCCTCTCTCAATATTCCTTTTGCTCTCTCATTAACCTAGGCTTTAATTTTCTTGGTAAAAATGTGCTGTGTAGTTCAAATTCCATCTCTAGCGCTATTGGGCTGTGTGGTGTTGGGCAGGTTTCTTAACCTCTCTGACACTCAGCTTATTCATATGTAACATGGGAATAAGACTATCTAACACAGGGCTGTCAGGAGGATTAAATAAAGTAATACCCACAAAGGACCTATATGTAAGAAACCCTTAGTAACTTTGAACTATTTCTTTCCTCACCCAAGGGTATGCTTAAGCATGTGGGAGACAGGGAGAGAGAGAAACCTCGATGTGAGAGAGGAACATCAGCCCGTTGCCTCGCCCGCGTGCCCTCGCAGTGATCAAACACACAACCTTTCGGGGGTACAGGGTAACGCTCTAACCAACCGAGCCACCCAGCCAGGGTTGAGCTATTTCTTAATTCCCCACCATTATGCACATTACTCAATGGATTTTTTTTTTTTTAATTTGGAGCAGTACCAAACTCTCTCCCTGCAGTAAAAGGGAGGAAAAAATAATCCTATCCATCGAATAGCCTGCATGAAAACCTAAATATATAAATAGTTTAGAATACTAACAAAAACGTCCACTTCTGCAAGGCACATTTCTCTGACGGCCAGGACTATTGCGATGCCCAAATTAAACTCCTCCCCCCAGACACTTAACAGCTAAAGCTGCAGGGCATTTGTGTCTTCTCCGTCGTCATTTGAGCAAACTATGGGTAGGTTTCTACCTGGAAAGGGTCGGAGCTGATTTAGGACTTAGCTGCAAATGAGAACCGTTGGGGAGGAGCAGGTGAGCAGAGGAGAAGGGTGCACCCTCCCCACCTGCTAGCTCGACCCCCCAGACCCATCATCAGGGGCTTGTGTGCACTGAGGCGGTGACAGTGTAGGGGTGGGGGAGGAGGGGGGACAAAGACATTGCCTTAACGGGTTTTCTTTTCTATGAGCCATTTCTATTTTGTTCTATGGCAGCAGGTTCTTTAAAGCAATTCGAATAAATCTGTGTTAGAACTTACCCTCCCTTACCTGTTCCCAAAAGAGGGCAGGAACCTGGGGGGCCTGAGGGGAACAGAGGGACCTTGACTAGAGACAAGGTGGGGACACACGTTAAGTGCTTCCTGACGGGTGGGAGACCTCAGTGCACAGCCAGTGCGGTTACTTGGGCTAAGAGAGGCACAAAGCTTTTGGTTTTTTGGCCCAGGGTTTTAAACGAGGCTACAGACTGACCCTCATCATTCTCAGAGGGTCCGTGAGACTGCCTGCCGAGTCTGAGCCCCACTTCTCACTCTGACCTCACACCGACGGCAGTAGCATGGGGCCAGAAGTCCGCTTTCTATTCCTTCATCCTCCCCTTCCAATTCCCAGGATAAGAACAGAATGATGGAGAACAAGGGATGAAGGCAGAGCCCCCGAGACCTGGACAGGCCGTGCTCGCGAGGACTGCTGTCTTCGGCAGGGATGGGGACACTAGGCCAGCAGCAAAGCAAGCCACGGATGGGATGCTTCAATTTTACAACCCAACAGCTCTGGCAGAGAATGGGGTGCAGTCGGCAGGGGGAGCTCAGTCCACCTTTCCTGCCTGGGATGTTCCAACTTGGACAGCAATTAGTCTGGTAGACTGAGAAGCCCATCCCTGATTCAGCTTTCCCAAAGCTCTGACTCCCTGGCCAAACACATAGCGCTGTTGGCTGCGTGGGAAACACAAAGGGAGAGACAGGGCTGGCCTGAGTGGATACTGGCAGTAAAAAGTGCACATAGAGGCTGACAAAGAAAGACAGGCTCTGCATTGGAAAGATAAACGTAATCAACTGTCACAGTCTTAACTCTGCTTATCTCAGTGGCCCCTCTAAAGAGAAAGCACAAATAAAATATCTAGATGGGATAAACAGTGGTAGGACAATAGCGAGAATAGAAATGAAAAAAAAAAAATTCAGAGTTCTTGCTCCAGTTCTCCTTCTAACTTCTTTGTGTGGCCACATACATATCACATTGACTCCCTGAGCTCTGGATGGCTGCTTTCAGATTATGTAACTGTGTGTCTCTAAGCCTCAGTATCCTTATCAAGAAAAGATATGTGCTGAAAGTCTTTACCAAGAGCAGATTAAGATGACATTTGTCAGGGGCCCAGCTTACTGCCTAGCCCATAGTAAGTCTCAATAAAGTTTAGTGATCCATATGACTACTTGTGAAGGGAGTGGGAGGAATGGGCTGTATGATACCTTACCATAGCCCTAACTTTGTTTTTATTCTATTCTACATGTTAGTGAGGTAAAAAAGAAGGGGTCCTGGGCATGCTATGAAATCTAGGCTCAGAATTTAGACAGCACAGGCAAGTGTGCCCTGGCATCTATATAAGGAAGATGTTTACATTTTGTAACCTTAAGCTAACTTGATTATTGCTGGGCAAGTCAACTGGCACATTAAAATACTGATCAGAGCACTGAGAAAGCACTGCACAGACAATAGATAGTCATTTTTATACGGTTGTAATATCTGGGTCTGGAAAAAGCCCTGGGTTCTTCTAGGTTCCCCTGACCAATCGCCCAATTTCTGATGAGGAGTCATTGGGGAAACCAAGAACCACCTACGCCTAGATTTTTATTGTCATTTGAACAGAGTACCTTGAAGGTGGGCCAACAACAGACTCCGCCTACAAATATTCACAGGTGACTACCTTGCTAACGGTTCAGTGAAGCTTCTCCTATACATTTAGTGACTTTGCATCTCCTTTCTGACTCCCAATATACAATAGGACCTTTACCTCATGGCAAACCCAACAGGACAAGAGACCAAACTCTCTCCCAGTGCTTATGGGGCAGAGGAGAGAAGCCATCCCAGCAGGAAGCGTTGCCTCCTGGTAAACCCAACCCATCCTTCCTAGCTCCCCAGAGTTCTGGAGACTGGGGCTGGCCCACCCAGAGAGCGCCCACTAAATTCTACACACTCTATTAGAAATTCAAGTGTAGACAGTATCCTCAAGTAGACCAAGCTATTAGATATTAATGTTCAGACAACACCTACCTCACTCCAGACCAGCATGGTACCGAATATGACCTGTAACCCATCAAAGAAATTGTCCCCTATGATGATCACAGTTGCGCCTCCCGTGGTCCATCCTTCACTCGGGCTGATGGCTTTGATACAGGGAGTAGCTGCTTTTCCACACACATGAAAAAGAGAAGGAGTCGGCTGTTAGAATCAAACTTTAATGATGGGAGACTTGAGAAAAAGAAAAAAAAAATCTTTCATCTTTTCACTAACAGAAAGTCCCTCAAGACCTCGGCATTCCCTGGCTGCGTTAGGACCTGAAACCTAAGGGTGCAATTTCAGGTTTTAAAAGCATTCTTTTCATTCTTTCTATTGAGAGACATGTATTTTACCCAAATCGTTTTCAAACCTGAAATCTTATGAAATGAAACATAGAAGCAGTGTTTAATTTATGAAAGACCAAAGATTATTAAACATGAAAAATGAATGACTTTCTGGAACACACTGGAAAACTTCTAGAATTGCTTCATAATTAAATATACATCCTGAAAAGAAAGCCCACAGATTTTTAGATAAACATTTCTGTCCAATGGGAAGTAAGAAAAAGAGGAGGCCTGAGCAAGAAATTGTTCTTGCTCCATGCCTTCTGTCTGTAACACTAACATAGAACATTCCCTGTTAAAAATAATTCAGCGTTTTTTCATTAAATGTTATGGATCCCATTTTATAGATGCAAAGAATGCAGGTCACTTGGGGTGAATTATGTAACCAAATAGCTGAGTCAGGGCTGAACCACAGAGAGTCCCATGCCCTTTGCTTTGTTGTCATTCCCAGGCATAAAACTCTAGAACTAACTTGCTCAAAATTTCATCTCTCTTCTTTTTCCATTGTAAATGGCCCTCGGAGATGGGAAATAACTTGCAAATACTGTAATTCCAAACAGACTGGAGGTGGTTGACTAATGAGCATGGTGTATTTCAAGAGAATTGCTGGGCATAAATGTGATTGGAGGATTATGGTTTTCAAAATGTCTCGGAGGGCACCTCCCTTCCACTGAGGATGCTGAACTCCACAATGCCACGCTGCTCTCCTCATGATTCCTTTTATGAACATGACCAAAGCAAAATTCGAGAGTAAGGAATGTATTATGCAAGGAGGGAAAATGAGACCCTCCTCTTTAATAAAAAGTTTATTAAGTATCCAAGACTGACTTTCCAAGCATTGAAGCCAATGAGTGCACCAGTTCAGTTTAATGGGGAAAAAACTGGCAAAAAAATTATTGGACTTTGTCAAATTTGGCAAAATGTCATGCTTTAACTTTTGCAAGAAGAAAGAAAATATGAAGCCCAGCCCAGTGGGACCATTGCTCACGTGCCGCCACACAAACAAGCAGAATGGGGTTGACTTTGATTCAAATTAATCTTATAAAATTGCACAGAGAAATTAGGAAATATCCAAACTAAACATTTCATGTTGGCTGAACTCATATAATGCCATTTACAACCAAAACTGGGCAGTTTACGCATGCCTTTTCTCCCCTCCACTTTCTCCCCAAAACAAAATAATTAATCAAGACAATGTAAATGATTCGTGACTTGAAAATTCTTGTCCAATTTTTTACCCCCATAAAGGTTGTGATCAAAGTTTCCCAGCCATAGGACTTTTTCTGAAAATTTTTCTTTCAAAGTCAAAAGGTTTAAATGCAAAATCAAGTACTCCAAACCAATGGTAAAATATGATGTATGATTTCGAGCAATTTATAAAAAAAATAAACTACATTTAACAACATAAAATTCTACATAAAATTCTTACAATAAAAGCAGTTTGGAAACATTCTAGTTAATGTCTCAAAGTCTTAACCTTTAACATCCAACTCAGTATACTTAGTTGCTACAGTAGAGTAGGAAAGGTGTTGCTACATCCCTGGATGCTTCTGAGAATAGGAGATGGGTTTAACTGAGCTGGTCTTGAAAGAGTCTCCGCTGGGGCACTGTGGAAGCCGGTGGTATTGTTAAATGCTGACCCTGTGATTACTTTCATAAACCACAAACTAGTCTTGGTGTCTATGTCTGTATTAGCTTGGGGATTTCTTTTAACTTTTTAAATTTCTTTTTAAATCACACAAGTATGCTTCTTTAGATAAGTATGTCCTCCTCTAGGTTTTCTCACCACTGAAGAGAAGACAGAGAGTGTGCTGGTGTATCTTTGAGACTCTCCTACGGTATAAATGTTACTGCAGCAGCGTAGCCGAGGCCTGCTGGTTTCAGACTTCATCTCCCGCCTCAGAAGTCATGTATGTGTGTGTGCTTTCAAATATTCTCGAAGGAAAACTATGTTTTCCGATTCTGTGAGCAACTGAGCAGAGACAAGGGTATACAGGCCACTAGTCAGAAGAAAGGGCAGCAAGCTTCCAGAGGTAACTTGGTGAGGGGACAATATATGACACTAATTTCTTAGATTTTTTTGGAGGAAAAAAGCTTTGAGGGAAGTACCCCAGGAAAAGGGTGACAAACCGCACATCTTGATCATCCTACCTCAATACTCAATGTCATCTACCATCCCTCCTTATAGACTAGATGCCGCTCTCAGAACAGGTAGATCATGCAGCCCTTTCTAAGTTTAGAGCTCACCTGGTTCTAAAGGTGCTCTGGGACACTGTATGTCATAGCAGCCTTGAGAGGAAGCCCTGCAGTGTGTGCCCACTGGGAAGTTTGGAAAATACGGAAAGGAATCATGGGCTGCCCCACTGAGAGAGTCGGGTGGGGAAGAGATGTTCTGGCATTAAGTACCTGGAGGTTCAGGAGGCTAAGTATCAGCCAATGCCTGGGATAGTCCTCCCACGTGAAGAACTCTAAAATGTCAGTAGTGCAAGGCAGAAGACATTTTGAACAGCTATAAAGATGAGGCCCAAGAGCAGGTGTTCAGAACTCACGGATCCATACAGGCCAAGTCGAGAGACACAAATGAATAAAGCAGCTCAGGGTCTCAGAACAAGCAGGAGAGGGACAGCCACTGACACTCAGAACTGGGGGAGCAATGAGAAATGACAGGACGCTGGGGAACTGCTGGCTCTGTCCCCCATCTAAAGGTGCCGACTGCTCCTCAGCCCCGGCTGTGGGTGACGCCATGCAGACACAGGCCGGGAGTGGGCGCGGGGGCATCTGGTCGCCTGATCTTTCAAAAGATGGGGGCCCAAATTTTTCTGCAACATTTCCTGATCTTTAAATGTTGGCAACTAATTCAATCAAATGTGTTGGCTAAACAAAATGTTTTTGGGTAGACTGAACTCGTGGAGGACCATTTGACACTTTGACCTGAGTCACAAATTTGCCAGACTAAACGCAGCCCAGGAAATACTTGCAAATATGACCAAAACTACCCAGATGTTCCCAGCAGAACTGACAGTCAAATATCCAAGAGTCTAGGTGCACCCAACGAGAGAGTGGTTGAACAAACTATGGTACATCTATACTATAGAACATCAGGAGTGCCGATGGAATAGAAGAAAAAATTCTATAATAAACTGACGTGGAAAGATGTCAAAATAAATTAGGAAGGGGGTAAAAAGCACTTTGTAATCTGGTGTGGCCCTGTTTATCTTAAAAATGGTGATCTGTGGGCCGGTATATACATAAGTGTGTAGTATGCGTGCGTATAGTCACGTGTGAACAGGTATGATGGACAAAGGTCTGGAAGGATGTTCACCAGCTGTTGTCAGTGGGTCCATATGCAAAAGAATGTGGCTGGAATGGGACTGAGAGAGAAGGGTGACTATTAAATTCTCCTCTACAGACGTCTACAGGTTTGAATTTTTTCAATGAGCATATATTAAGGCAATACATTATTATAATTTAAAATTAAGTAATAGCAAAGCATTTAATTCTGGGAGAGGTAAAGATTGTACTTTTTAAGCAAATTGATACTCTTTTTTTTAAAGCCACACTACGCTGAGTAACAGACCCTGAGCCCCTCCTTCCCTCTTCTTTTTGGCTAAAGTGTCTCCGAGGAAGCTCAGACATCTGACCCAGCCAAGGACTTGTTCCCCTTCGCTCTCAGGATACCCAGAGAGACAGAGGTAAAGACGGGAAGAGGTAGCTTCCAGTGGAGTCACAGTGGATGTAGTCAGTGGAATTTGAAGGTGAAAAGACTTATAAAAGAATCCAATCCAGCCCAGGAGTGTAATTATCAACACAATTCTATCGCCAAGAAAATATTATGAAATGGGGAAGGGGCGGGGGATGAATATAAAACCACTTTTACCAGCCAAACCTTGATTTAATTAATAAAAGATTCTTCTTCACCAATGAATTTTCACACTTCTTGGTACCCACAAGGACTGCTAGCCAATTCCTGGTTGTAAACCTCATTAAAAATGAAAGTTTGTGGGGTTTTATTTTTGCCTTTTTTTTTTTTTTTACTTCTCCCCCCACCCCCAACAGCCACCAAAGTAGAGGAGATTTTCCTTCCTTCAAACTATGACAATAACATGATTACCCCACCACAGTTTAGCATAATGGCTCTGAAATGCTCCTGGCACATTGCAGAGTTAAAGTGGAAATTATTAGGTAGCTCTTCTTTGTTATAATAATGATCACTCCACAAATAAAAGCTCTTCTCCCAAAGGTACTGCAAGGCACAAAATGCTAATTCTGAAGATTATGTGCGCGCTTTTATTAAATATTACTCTGCCCTGTCTGTTTGAGGGCCTCTCTGCTCTGATTGTTTTATGAGTACCATGTTAATGTCATCCCCATCTTGCTAGCAGCAGGCACACATTTTAGCGTTTGTATGAGAGTTGATCAAAGGCCACGTGCTGGGGGAATTGCTGAGAAAACACGGACAAGCGATAAAAATCTAACAGATTAATTGGTTTAAATTTCATTTCAGGGTGTTGAACTTTGGCTCGGGACTCTAATACTACACCGTTGAGTCAGGGCCTAATTACCAGATTTCCAATTTGCTTCTGAACAATGGTCGTGGTGAGGAAAAGAGAGGAAGAAAAGGGCGGGGGAGGGAAGAAATCGTTCAGCCTCCAGTACATATTTAACAACTAATGTTCTGTGTGCAGACAACTGCACCAGGGGACACTGATGTCACCTGCTCTACCTCCACGGCGTTCGTATTTCCTCCCAATAGCCACAGAAGGCAGAAGAAATCACAGATGCCC